CGCAGTCAGTAAGGATGGGCAGCCTTCCCAAGGGTACCCTTTGCGTCCTTGTCCCTTCGGCCCATCCTTGGCTTTGTGTTTCTGGCCGCGCCCCGCTCGAAAAGTCTCGAAACGGCATTCCAAGGCCCTTGCATCTTTACAGCGCATGCCTATAATGCGGGCCGACTGTCGCGTACCGGCTCGTTGGCCTCCTCGCGGCCCATCATTGTCACCAACTTGACGATCTGCTCGAGGTTCGCCTTCGCATCGTCGGGCAAGTCCTGAATCTTCGCGAGTGTGGAAATAATGCGCCCAAAGATGTGGAGATGCGGCGGCCCGAGGTCTCTCTTGCCCTCCTCCGTGCTCCTCCGTGCACAGTCTGCGGTACTCCTGGCCCATGCTCGGCCCTGCCGCCACCACTGGATGAAGCAGCGCCAGGCTGAGGCAATCCACAGCGCGCCCATCAGGATGCGCAGCACCTGCGTGTTGCTGAGCGTGAGCTTCTGCAGCGTGAAGGCTTGTTCCCGTATCGGCGCATCCACATCGTCGTCTAAGCCAAGCCCATCCGCCTTGCCACGTGCACGCTGGAGCCGCTGGCGTCCGCCTTTGCCTCCCCGTGGCCCGGCGTCCTCTTGGCCTGATGCCGCCTGGGTTGGGAGGCCGATCATCCAAGTCGCCATCTGGAGGTCCAGCTGCGTGCAGTTTTACGTGATCGAGGTGCTCTGTGAGCTCAGAAGTGATGTGCTAACAGAGCACGCGCGTGTGATAAGATGCCTCTACCGGCTGAAACTCGAACCAGACGGCTCTGGTGGGACATCGCATCGGCTTCGAACATGGCATCGCCCAGACATGTCGTATACAGATCGCTCTAGATGCAAAAACCTTGCGGCACGAGGAGGAGGAGAAGGAGGAGCATGAGGAGGAAAAGGAGGAGGAGGAGGAGGAGGAGGAGGAGGAGGAGGAGGGGCGGAGCTTATTCCCCGCCGATAGAAACAGGGGGTGGGGGGATCCCCCAAACTGAAGACCTACCTCGGTCAACTGCCCGTCTTTTTCTCGGCCTGGACCTCGTGCCCCTTCGTTTGGCGCGCGCGAGGTCGGCCGAATATCCTCTAGAACTCTCAGTCTCTCTCTCTTCTCTTTCTCTCTCTCTCTCTCTCTTTCTTTTTCTCTTCAGGGACAGGACGAGGAAGTTCTGAGGAACTTCCTCGTCCTGGCCCCGATGCCCCTCGCGGCCGGATTTCCGTGAGCACACGCTCGCGCGCGTGGTCAAACACACACTCGTTGCGCTGAGTACCTGCGGTCTCTACCTCTCTCTCTCTCTCTTTCTCTTTCTCTTTCTCTTTCTCTTTCTCGCTTTCGGAGGTGTGGGGAGGGGGGCGCTCCCCGACCCCACCAGGATGGAGGTACCCAGGTTCTGCGGGGAGATCTCCCCCGAGGAGGGCCCCCGACTGGAGCTGCACCCCCTCCTCTCTGTGATTTGCGCGTGTGTCCGACGCTGCTGTTAACACTCCCCTCCTGGTGCGGCAGGCAGCGCCAGCAGGTTCTGCAACATGTAGGGGGCATCGAGCGCGAACCCCGATGTTTGCACGCCTACCCCGGATCCCATCTCTGCCCCGTCTTTCAAGCAGTGGTGACGCGTCCTGGCTCGCCCATATGCCTACCAAATAATATTCACATACCATGTTGTGGTCTGCGCGAAATGTTTTTAGAACACATATGGCTGAGTCTGTCTTGTTTAACACATCGGGCTTATGCTCTAACAACATTGTTTTGTTCTCAGAACATGTGTGGGTCCTAAGAACATGTCGTGGTAGGCCTATAGGAATGCCGGGACGGTCGGTCCCTGCTCAAGTCGCCTTTCTCCTCCAGGGGAGGCGAGAGGCATAGCGACAGCTCCATCGCGCCGGTCCTGCCCCCAGTCTCGTCTACACGCAAGCATGACCCTTTGCCAGCGGGACCGTTGGTGCGCGCCTGTCGCGTGGAGGGGGGGGGGGCGCGTGGGTGGGAGGAGGAGGAGGAGGAGGAGGAGGAGGAGGAGGAGGAGGAGGAGGAGGAGAAGGAACAGGAGGAGGAGGAGGAGGAGGAGGAGGAGGAGGAGGAGGAGGAGGAGGAGCAGGAGAAGGAACAGGAGGAGGAGGAGGAGGAGGAGGGGCCAAACCCGAGCGTGCGGGTCGCCACTGTCGCATCGCACCCAGCGGTTGGCAGGCCGCATGCCCGGGGTTGCCTTGGCAGAGTGGTTGCCTGTCTTCGCTCGCCGTGCGTCCGTTGCTTTTGGGGCGCGCGAATGCCGACAACGCGAGCGCTGGTCATCTAGCAAGCAGGGAGGGACGACAGGCAACCACTCAACAAAGGCAGCCGCGGGAAGCGCGGGACGACAACGACGGCGACGACGACGACGACGACAGGAGTCAACCCTCAAGGCCTTCGCAGAACTTTCGCCGTGCCGGCATCTGGCTGGCCACTTGGGGCCATCGCAGGGGGCTATCGCAAGGCCTTCTTGGGACCATTTTGGAAACCCCTTGGTTCCCCTTGGTCCTCTCTCTTGGCCCTCTTGGGCCTCTCTCGGGGCCCTCTTGGGCGCCATCTTGGAAACAGTCGATCAAAACAGAGAGCGGCGTCAATTTGCTTCCCCCCGTCGGGACCTGATCGTTAGCCTCTTTGGGCCCGTTTGGGGCACTCTTGGGGCGGTCCAGGGACTGTCTTCATCTTGGGCCCCTCGTTGGGCCCTTTTGGGCCCTCTTGGAGCCATCTAGGGGACTCAGGAGTTTATCGGAAGCGGAAAGGCGAGACAGCAAACAGCATTGAAGAACAGCGTGGCGTTGAAGGAGTTGTCCTCCTGGGAGCCTCCTTGGGAGGCTCAGAGGGCACTTGAGCGACGAAAGACAACGGGGTCGACTGCGCCGACATTGGCGCGTAATCTGCCCGCGACATGCCGCGCGTAAGCGCCCTCGTCTGCAATGTAGGTTGCCACGATGGCGGCCCGCGTACGCCACTGCGTAAGGTCGCTGTATCATCTCGCTTGAGACCAGTTTTTTCCGTCGCTCACTTGGGCCGTCCTGGGGCGGTATTGATGGCTCTTAGCTGCATGTTGGTGGCTATCTTGAATCATCTTGGGATGTTGCGATCTTGGAGGCCATCTTGGGCTCACGCCTGGAACAGGGGGCATGGGGGGAGGTGGACCCCCCTCTCCGCAGGAGAAAAGGGAGGTTAGCAAAACGAACTCCCTAGACCACTCACGCCCAGAGGGCAGGTGAGATTTCACGCAGCTGATTCCCTAGCCCCACCCCCCCTTGCTGCTGTTTCCCCTCTTTTCCGTCCGCCCCGACTACCGGCCAGAGAAGACGAGGTGGAGTGCGTCCCAGCGCGCCCCGCTCGGCGCCCGTCTTTGGGAGGCGCTGGACCCCTAGTCGATCCCCGACATCCTTTGTGTTTAACGCGCGGCCACGGAGGTCCTGACCCTTTCCCTGGGGCCAGTTTTTTACCACGGACCCATTTGGGGCGTTCCAAAAGGGGCCTTGCCTTTGCGAGTAGAAGGAGTTGTCATCTCTTCCGCGGCGGAAGGCGGCGGAAGGTCGGCAGAAGTAGAACGAAGCCGCCTCCGCGGGCGGAAGCGGGCGTAAGGGCGGCGGAAGGTGGCGGAAGTAAGAAATGCGTCCCTAAGAAATGAAAGCGTTTTTGGATTCAGGGTTTCCGAAATCGCCCATGTGTCCCGAGGCCGAACCCTGAGAGAGACGCCCAGATCGAAAAAAGCGTACTCTCGGAGATCTGGGATCCTCGATCCCCCCTCCTGGATCCCAGGATTTCGCAGGATTTGGTCACCCCCCTGCTGGTGGCCCCCATTGGCGCTGCCGGACCTCCAGCCGTTGCCTTCCGATCGGGGCAGGCCGCGCGTGAGATTGGATGTTTTGCATTGGGCGGACTTAGGCAACGAAGCCCTCCCAGGCTCCTCCTCCTCCTCCTCCTTCGAAGCCCTCCCGGGCTCCTCCTCCTCCTCCTCCTCCTCCTCCTCCTCCTCCTCCTTCTCTTCCTTCCTCCTCGTCATCCTCTTTCTCGTGCCTGTCCTTCTGCTCATCGTCCTGCTCGTAGGCCACCTCCTCCTCTTCCTCCTCCTCCTCCCGCCATCACCGCCCAATGTACGCAGCTCCTGTTTGTGTTTGCGAATCACACGATCGAGTAATCTGGGGAGTTCCAGGTCCACTATGACACCCGTTGGCGGATAGAGAAACGTCGGCGCAATTGGAAGGGATCGGTGGAAAGAACAAGATGTCGCACTTAGTCAAATAAACAAACCCTCCTTGTCGCACCCTCAGACGTGTTGGTTGCGCCATTTGCGATCCTGAAACCGTCTGAGAATCTCGCAGCAGCTTCAAGAAAGGATGGCGGCTCCTTCTCAAAACGTGGATCTCGCCTCAGCGTCGCGCACATTCGCCAACAACACTTGCAACAGTTACAGGGACGGAGAGCGGCTCATGTTTCAAAGTGGGGCTTTCGCTTGAGTCTTTCTGTATAGGTCTGGACCAGAAACTTGAATAGATGCAGCAGCTGTACGGATGGAGGGTGGTTCTGTTTTTGAAGACTGAAGTTCGAACACATGCAACAGCTGTACGGATGGAAGGCGGCTCCTTTTCAAATTTGGGTTTTCGTTTGAGACTTCCTCGACGCTCATGGTCATGTTGCACAGAAGGGGCAGTTGATTCTTCTGAAGCGGAGATCCCGCTGGACACTTCTTGGACCTATCTGATTATACCTGTGTGCCTTCCCTACTGCTGGCTGGAAGCATGCACAGCAGTTCGCTCCTTCCGAATGAATGCCAGGCAGGGTGTGGTTTTTCAAAGGGGTAGTTTTTGAAGTGGAAAGGAAGGCTCGTAGGGACTTCTAAGGAGGGGGCTTTGGGCGGGAGTGGGTGTTGCAGTATCGTTCAGGCATCTTGAGTTTACTCTGGTCCTCCTCCTCCTCCTCCTCCTCCTCTTCCTCTTCCTGTTCCTCATCGTCCCAGACCCTCCGACACCGACCGAGCAGAGGTGCTCGACAGGATCCTGGGGGAGGAGGAGCCTTGGGGCCTCGGCGCCCTCAATGGCTACCGGGTGGAGATCCTGGAGCTGCGGCTGGAGGAGCGCGCGCTAGGACGGAGGCTTTCTCGGCAGCCTCGTCTGACGTGATCGTTGGCTTTTGGGGGTTTCCCACTCCTCAGAATTCGAAAACCCACCCCCCCACCCCTGGTCACGACTCCCATCCCCGAGCCGGCGATTCAAGGGGTCGGGACTGGGGCCGGGAGCGTTTTCTCCATCCTTTGACCCCGAAAACCCACCCCCCACCCCTGGTCCCGACCCCCCTGGATCGCGGGTTCGGGGATGGGGTCGGGACTAGGGGTGGGGGTGGGGTTTCGCCTTTCCAGCTTCGGGATGCTTTCCAGCAGCTGCGCCTCGTCGAGAGCGTCCCGATCGTCCGCCGGCGGCTCGAGTCCTGGCCCAGAAGCCAGGCCGTCGTTGTCGGGCTCTGCGGGGCCCTCGCTGGGCCTTGGGAGTGTCCAGCAACGACTCGAGCTCAGACGCTGGCCTCTGGAACAGGGTCGGACTCCGGGGGGGCCCCTCTTGCAACAAAACGAGGCGTCGAATTAATCGTGAACGTTTTTTTGTGACTCCGTATTTTGCCGATCGGCGCGTGCCCTCGGACCCCCCCCCTTCCCTCCCCCACGGAGTAGACCTTGGCTGTTTTTGGCGCCTGATTCAGGCAGGTGGAGTCTTCCTCATCATAGGACGCAGTGTTGCAAACAGTCGCATCAAGCAGAGGTCCGGAGCCGGACCCCCCTCCCCCCCCCCTTTCGCCCAATGTCGAAACGCCGAGTAAAAAAAAAAACGCTCACATCTTCGAGCACGCGCCCAGGGGGGGAGGAGGGTAAACAAGGAATTCTTCAGACCCCAGAAACCAGCACGCTGTAAACCAGGAGTTTGCCAGATCCAGCGGGGGGAGATGGAGAAGGGGGGAAGTTCGGGCCCTTTTGTCAAAAGCCCTCGTTGACGGGCCCCTGGGCTGGGGAATACGGTCAGGAATTCTGGCTCAGCGTGTCGCGCCGCCGGTTCTGACCCACCGCGCTGCGCAACACGCTAACCGCGTCCAGTCCCCAGGCGTCAACGCCTTGAGCCTTTTACGACCTCCCACCCCGCGGAGCGGAGCGGCACGCGATCCGCTCGCAGGGCCGGCAGGGCCGGGCCCCCCGCCCCCACCCACGACACGCTCAGCGAGAGCTCCCGACCGTATCTCCCATGCAGGCCACCTCCCCAGCGCCTCCTAGAAGCCTCTGGGCGCGCCCGCGGGCTGTCGCCTCCTGTTTGTCCCCCATTGATCTTGCACACTGGCCGCCAAGGATGCTGCGCAACTCGCTGCCGAGCCGAAAGATGATAAAGGGGAGCGTGATGAGGAAAGGGGGGCGCTACAGCCGAGACTGATAAGTAGGTCGACCCTGCTAATTCCAGAGTGCCCTCGAGTCCTGTGTTTTTCGGCCCATGCCTTGCACATTCCTGTGGCAATGTTGCCCTCGAAGAAATCTTGTGTCCTCTCGCGTGTCCTCTCTAGTCAGCCCCGACCGTATACCCTTCTGCGGAGCTGCCAGAATGCTAGAGGGCGGCTCTTCCCCCACATCTGCAAAACACCCGCGGAGCCGCGTGTGGCGCGAGGCTGTCGGGATGAACCCGCGGGCCAGGCACGACCGTGTGCAGCAAAGAGGGGCCGAGGCTGGCAGAAGGAGGAAGGGCCGGGCAGGACGGGGCCCAGGGCGGGCCTGGAAGAGCACATGGAAGAGGACAAAAGCCCCCCCTCCTGCTCCTCCTGCTCCTCCTGTTCCTCCTCCTCCTCCTCCTCCTCCTTCCCCTCCTCCTCCCCCTCCTCCTCCTCCTTCTCCTCCTCCTCCGTAGCCATTTTGGCTCAAGACTTATGCTTTTGCGGGCTGAGCCCGTATTGGCATTCACGGATACCGCTGGTCCGCGGCCTCGCCAGAGCGCTTGCGCTCGACAGCTTTTCGCCTACACCGAGGAGTTGGGCTCCCTCATCAGTTTTGCCGCCACGGCCAGGCTGCCCTCTGGCCTGTGGCACTCGCCGCCCGTCCCTGCGGCTTCGGCGCCACGATGGCCCCGACGCGCAAGGACAACGCTTCGCCATGGTACTGCAAGTGGTGCAGGCACGACGTCACGAATCAACCGTGGTTCAATGCTTCCACCCTTGTCTACTGTAAGAAGTGCGGCCTGCACAAGAGTAACTGTTTCAAGGAGAACAAAGTGGTGTCGCAGCCCAGTGTCTCGGCCAAGCAGCAGTCGCTCTCGGCCAAGGTCAAGGAGCTTGAGGCGCAGCTCACCAAGCTCCGCGAGCATCCCCCTGGGCAAGTGCCAGCGGCTACGGGAACAACAGGCGCGAGCCCACCATGGGCTGCTGCGCCAGGGGATGCCGACACTGTCAAGCAGAACAGGATCAAGATGCTGGATCAGATGCTCCGTGTCACTACTGATCCTGCTGATGCTGATAGTGTGGCCAAATGGCGCGAAGAGCGGGCGAAGCTGGACGCCGAGCTCTTTCAAAACAGGCCCATCGAGCATCAGGCCAGGTCTTTGGCGTCAAGACTGTCTGCTGCCCGTTCGCGACAGGCTACCATTCAGGCCACCCGCGATGAGCAGCAGAAGAAGATCGACGAGCTCACTCGCGGCCTGGCCGACACGGACACCAAGCTGCAAGAGGCCACTTCTGAGGTCCTCCGCCTGGAACAGCAGACCCGCACCGCCATGTCGCGCGTCCAGCCGCCCGAGGGCACACAGCCACCGTCGCTTGCGGACTTGTTGCCCTCCTTCGCGGTCAGTGTGGAGCAGCTGGGCAAGGTCGCTACAGGCCTCGGCCTCGGCGCCGACATGGTCAAGGAGCTGCAGGCCATGGCCGACACGGTCAGTAAGCTGCAGAGCCTGCCCCAGGCCAAGCCGCCTGAACCTGCACCTGCTCCTGCTGGTGGTGCTGAAGCTCGTGCTGAGCCACCTGACATTGAGATGTCTGAGCAGGATTGCCGCGCGACTTTGGGTGCAGCTGGCGTCCACGTCGAGGAGAGCGACACCCCCGACATCGTGCGCGAAAAGTTCAAGCGTTTCCAGCAGAGCTACCTGGACACTGTGGCCAAGAAGGCCAAGACGTCCGCGTGAACGTGCTCGGCCTGGTATGCTGTTGCTTTGGCTCTTTGTCACCATGGCTAGCTCTACATCAGCGCAACATGTTGAGGGTGCGCCTTCGTCATCTTCGACGGCGGCGTGTACCTCGGGCAGGGAGGAGAGGGATTCAGCCCCTCATCGTCAGACCTCCCTGCCCACAACGGCTTCCAGTACCGTGACCTCGGCTGGGACTACGGCGCCTACATTATTTCCCCCACTGGCCCGCTCTTCGGGGTGGGGGGCAGCTCCGACCTTGACCGCGGCTCCGCCTACGTCGGTTGCGCCCGCAGCTGGGTCCTCGGCGTCTACGGCATCACAGAGGGCTACTACGCCTACGCCTACGCGGTTGGCCCCTGGCAGCACGCACTGCTCACCGACCTCACCTTCGGGGAGCGGCGGCAGAGGGCACCGACCGTCTTCGGACGGCACGCACCGCCCACCGCCCTTGCCCTCGGAGAATCCAGGCGGCAGAGGGTGCCGACTTCTAGGGGCGTCCTCGGGCCAGAGCGGCCCTGCGCGTACTGCCTTGGACGATGATTATGACTTCTTTCAGGACGTCGAGCCTGATATGGAGGAACTTGAAGCAGATCTGCGTGCAGGCGCGGTTCAGGATGCGCCATCTTCGCCCCCACCTTTTTCCCGATGCAGCATCGAGAAATCATGTCAGGAACGGGCTGCGCCAACTTCGCCTTTGCCGCCAGAGCGCACGGAGGTGAAGGTGCAGCCAATGCATGCAGAATCTAAGCCGCAGCTCAAAGGCCTCAGCACAACGGTGAACGCTACGAGCTACGGCCCTTTCTTCGACTTTTTGGCCACTTTTCGTGGAAGTATCTTGCTGGCTCAGGAGTTGAGAATTACCGAACCTAGGCTTGGCGAGTTTCAGGCCAGGGCCTTGGACGCTGGATGGCATGGGCTATGGGCCCCGTCGCCCTCTACTGGGGACCCTGCTACGTCCAACTTCGGAGGGGTCGCGGTACCCGTGCCGACAAACATTATGGTCACGGCTCCACTTGACGACGGGCGCATTATCTATCCAGGACGAGCAGTTTGTGCCCAGATTAATTGGGGAGTTGCTGGTGGTATCATCGTCGCCAGTGTTTACCTCGTCACGTCCATTGGCATCTCAGGCGAAAACATTGAGGTGCTGAGAGTGGCAGCATGGAACTCTCGGGGCCTCGACTGGATTCTAGGCGGTGACTGGAACGCCGATATCGACGCGCTCAACGTTCGCAACTGGGTCGAGACCATGGCAGCCATCCACTATGTGCCCGACCAGCGCACCTGCATCACTGACGAGGGTAAGAGCACCATAGACTATTTTGTCGTCTGTGCCAACTTAGCGTCTCGCATCAAGGGCAAGCCCGAGGTCCAGTATGACTCCGCGGTCGTGCCGCCGCCGCACTTCCCTGTGGGGCTGCAGCTCATGGGCGAGGATCGCCCCACGTGGTGCCGCGTCCCTGTGGGGCCGCGCCCTTTTGCGGTGGCGCCGCCCGTTGGCTGCGCCAGGTATCCCTATCCGTGGCATATGCTCCAGTCGGAGTTCCAGCAGGTCAGCAGTGTCGATGACCTGAGCTCGCTCTGGGACTCCGTGCTGCGCGGGGTGGACTACGAGCTGGCAGGGCGTTACGACTGCGTAGGCGCCAAGGCCATGCAGTACATCGGACGCGAGGGGCCGCCGCAGTTCAAGTGGCAGCTCCTGTCATGGCAGCCGCCGCGCAGGCGTACCTACAAAGAGCCGCCCGCGCTGGCTTGGGCTACGGCGAGGCGCTGGGCCCAGCACCTTGTGGCCGAGAAGAAGCGGCTTGTGAGGTACATCGAGCGCCTCAAGTTGTGCGCCCTCACTTGCGCCATCACGCCGCTGCAGTGCACCAAGGTCGTCGTGGCCTTCAATGAGGTGGCTGCCTTTTATGGGCGCGTGGCTCGGTCGGAGCAGGTGC